ATGGGAGTAGCACAGTAACAGAAATATTTATATTTTGAAAGCTTACTGATTGACTTTATGGGTGCCCTATTTTTGCTGCATTGCCCATTCATATGCAGTCATTTCCATTCATTCATTTATGCAGTAGGTTCATTTGGACAGTGACTTAGGAACTTGACTTGAGAAGCCTTCAGGGAGAGGTTGAAAAGAATAGGCTATGCAAAACAAAATAGAACAACAACAAAGCTCTACTTATTGGTTCTCAATCTACCTATATTCCATTTTCTATTCATGAGTTATTCCTCTGCCCTTACTGTAAAACATGTCTCATTATATCTGATTGTGATTTTTTTTTCCTGTTCAAATTCTCTGGGGGCAGTGTTGAGGTGGAAATTGAGGAAATGGAGAGTGCAAAGGATCAGATTAAAGATTTGTAAAACTCACAAATAGTGATGATTCTTTTTCAACGATGTCTTTCTTCAGTTAATTTAGGTGCTTTTATAGTTGGCTTTGAAAAGAACACTCAAAAGAATATTTTTAGCATGAGAAAGTAGAAATTTCATTATATTGTTGTGGCAATAATAGTATTGCCTTTGAGATTAGACAGATCTGGATTCACATGCTACTTGATCACTTTTGCCTGTGTAACCTTAAACTAGCTGCTATCTGTATAAGAAACCAGGCTTATTAACATGATGAAGAAAAATGGCCAAAATATTCATTATGTTAAGTTGAATTGAATCTAGTTATATAGCCAGCAGATTATGAACCAGAACATCAAAATTGTCTCTAAATATTTTGCCTCTTAAGTGTTTTGGCCATATATGTTTTTAACAACTTTATTGAGGTAAAGTAGTATGTAATAAACTATATATTTAAAGTATAATATTTGATAAGTTTTGACATATTTATACCTCTATAAAACTACTACCACAATCAGTGTAATGAACATACTCATTACTCCCCCAAATTTTCTTGTGTTCCAGTGTAATTGCTTCCTACTCTCATCCTGCTGGTCTACTATTTATCACCAAAGTTTAATTTGTATTTTCTAGAATTTTATATAAATGGAATCATATAGTAGGTACTTTCTTTTTTTGATTTAGCTTTCAGCATAGTTAGTTTGAGATTTAGGTTGTTGCATGTAACACCAGTTCTATTTTATTAACTACTCATTCTATTTATGTACCACCTCTGAATAAATCCATTACCAATTAATAGACACTTGTTTTGTTCTCAGTTTTCAACTATAACAAAATTTCTGTGATCATTCATGTACAAGTCTTTATATGGACATACACATTTGTTACCTAGAAATGAAATGGATAGCTCATAAAGTTGGAGTAAGTTCAAATTTGTAAGAAAGTACCAAACTGTTTTCTAACATTGTTGTAACATTTTATATTCCCACCAGCAATGAATGAGAGATCCATTTTTACCTGGTCCTTGCCACATTTGGTATTGTCACTATTTTTAAAATTTTAGCCATTGTGATAGGTATGTAGTAATACCATATTATGGTTTTACTTTGCATGTACCTTCAGTCTAGTAATGTTGAGCTTCTTTTTTGCTATGTGGATATTTGCCATCCTTTTATCTTTGGTGAAGTATCTGTTCAAAGCTTTTGTTTGTGGTTTGTTTTGTTTTGTTTTTCCTTATTCCTGAGTTTTGGAAGTTCTTTATATATTCTGGATAAAAATCCTTTATCAGATATATGCTCCCACATTCTGGCTAGTTTTATATTATTTTAACAGTGTCATTTGAAAAGCAGATGTTTCATTTTGGTGAATTCTAACATATCAATTTATTCTTTTAAGGATTGTGCTGATGGCAATGTTTCTGAGAAATACTTGCCTAATCCAAGGCCACCAAGGATTTCTCCTGTGTTTTCTTTAAGAAGTTTTATTGTTTTAGGTTCTACATAATCTATGATCCATTTTAGTTAATTTTTGCATATGGTGCAAGGTGTGGATTGAAGTTCCTATTTTTTTTTGCAAATGGTATGTTGAAATGACTATCCTTTCTGTACTGAATTGCCTTTATATCTTTGTCCATATTTTTATAATTTGAATATCATTCATGTTCAGCTCTTCTTACTTAACATAATGTGTATAAATTTTTAATATTAGCAGCGCGGGGGAGGTGCGCGCCATTCATGCACGAGTTGAGCATGGGAAAGTTGGAAGGGGTCGACCTCAGCGAACGTACCTCAATCGATTGAGGACGTTTTTAGCAAAGGTCAGCTTAGGAGTACCCTAATTAAGTTAATAACAGTGTACCTACTTATATAGTTTAAGTTTAAAAAATTTGGCTCTCAAAAGAAATTTCAATCGTTGTACTGTTGATATTTGGCTCTGTTGACTAATGAGTTTGCTGACCACTACAGGGGTGGGCAAACTTTTTGACTCGAGGGCCACAATGAGTTCTTAAACTGGACCGGAGGGCCGGAACAAAAGCATGGATGGAGTGTTTGTGTGAACTAATATAAATTCAAAGTAAACATCATTACATAAAAGGGTACGGTCTTTTTCCGGCCCACGGGCCATAGTTTGCCCATGGCTGGCTAGTAGATCCATCATAAGCAAGAGTGGAATTTGCACAGAGATCATCATATGTTGTTTCATTCTTTTGTATATTTCTTTCTGTCTCATGAATGCTTGTTGGTGTAGTAGTACTACTGTGAAAGATGTATTAGTTTTCTATTGTGTAATAAATTACCACAGATTTGGCAGAATAAAGCAGCACATTTATTTTCTTCCAGTATCATGGGTCAGTAGTATGGGTACAGCTTTGTTTTGGTTCTCACAAAGTTACAAACTACATGTTAACTGGACTGCAGGAGCTTGAGGTTCTCTTCCAAAACATGTTATTGTTGACAAGTACAATCAACTGTGGGGCTGAGGTCTTCAGTTCTTTGCTGGCTGTCAGTGGTTACCTGCACTTCCTTGCCACATGGCTCTGTCCTAGTCCCTCTCACAACGTGGCAGATCATGTCTTTAAAGCCAGCACCAGAATTTTTTCACTTCAGGAAGGACCCAGTCTTTCTTTTAAGGGCTTTCACCTGATTAAGTCAGGGCCACCAAGGGTAGTCTCTCTCTTTTTTTAAAATATATTTTTATTGATTTCAGAGAGGAAGGGAGAGGGAGAGAGAGCTAGAAATATCAAGTTTTAAATCTATTTTCATTTATTCCTTCTTTGTGTTCTTCCTTTCTTTATGTAGATATGAGTTTAGACCTATATTGTTTTCCTTTTCTCTAATGAACTTTAAAAATATCTTGCAAGGCAAGTCTACTGGAAACAAATTCTCTTTCTCTTTTTGTCTGAGAAAATCTTTATTTCTCCTTCGAAAGGTAATTTTTCAGGATACAGAATTCTAGGTTGGTAGGTTTTTTTCCTCCCCTCAACATTCTAAGTGTTTTACTCCACTCTCTTCTTGCTTGCATGGTTAAGAAGTTAGATGTAATTATTTGTTCTCTGTAGGTAAGGTGCTTCTTTTCCTCTGGCTTCTTTCAGGATTTTTTTAATTTTTTTTATTTTTTTTAGTCTTTGATTTTCTGTAGCTTAAAAATTATATGCATAGATGTGGGGTTTTTTTTGTTTGTTTTATTTTTATTTTGTTGTTTTGTATTTTTCCTTCTTGGTATTCTCTGAGATTCCTGGATCTGTGGTTTGATGTCCAGCATTAATTTGGGGAAATTGTAAAAAAAAAAAGGTAGACATTCTCAGTCATTATTGATTTATTTCTGTTTTTTTCTCTTCTTCCGGTATCCCCATTACATGTATGTTATACCTTTTGTAGTTGTCCCACAGTCTTTGGATATTCTTCTGTGTGTGTTTTCCAGTCTTTGTTTTCTCTGATTTTCATTTTTTTGAGGATTATATTGATATATTTTCTAGCTCAGAGATTCTTTACTTTGCTGTAAGCCTATCAAAAAGGCATTATTTATATCGTTTTTTTTTTTTCCTGTAACATTTCTTTTTGGCTGATTCTTAGGGTTTCAATCTCTATGTTTACATTGTTCATCTATTCTTGCTGTCTACCTTATCCATAGAGCCCTTAGCATATTAATTATAGTTGTTTTAAATTCCATGTCTAATAATTCCAACTTTCCATGTCTGACGCTTGCTCTGTCTCTTCACAGTGTGTTTTTTATCTTTTGGTATGCCTTATAAATTTTTCTTGATAGGTAGATATGATATTTTGCTAAAAGGAACTGCTATTAATAGGGCCTTAGTAATGTGGTAGTAAGGTTGGGGTAAGGGAAACATTCTTTCCCCAGGACAGGGAATGTCCAGCCCACAGGCCATGGCCTGAGAAATCATTTGGTCTGCCTGCCAAGGCATTAGGGGTGAGTTAATTAAATGTTTGACCAAATGTAGCAGGCTAATTTTTAAGTTGATAATTTTGTATGGCCGTGAATGATGTTGTAAATATCCAAATGGCCCTTGGCAGGAAAAAAGTTCCCCGCCCCTGCTTTAGTCCTATGATTTGCTCTTAGTAATTTAGTGAACTTATGCCTCTGTACTGTGAACTTCACAGGCGTTTTCATTTTTTTTCTCTCCACCTAGGTGGGACAGCATGGCTAGAGTAGGCTGGGGTTGGTTATTTTCTTTGTCCCAGGTCCCTTAGGCTCTGGTTAACTAGTTTCTTTTGAGGGTAGGCCTTGTTAAGAAGGACCGAATGCTCTGGTTTGTAATTTCATATTGGTCACCCCATCCCACCCAACCTGCGGCAAGCCCAAGAGTATTTTTCTCTAATATTTACTATGGGAATCTGGTTGAGTTCCTGGAGGTAAATCTCACAGTATTATGGGAGCCTTCCAATAACTGGGTCCCCCTGGAGTTTTTATTTATTTGTCATTATTATTTTTAATCCTCACTCGAGGACATGCTTTAAAGAGAGGAAGGGAGAGAGAGAAACATTGATGGATTGCCTTTCATATGCTCCCAAACAGGATGAAACCCACAACCCAGGTATGTGTCCTGACCGGGAATCTAACCGGTAACCTTTCGGTACACAGGATGATGCTCAATCAACTGAGCCACTCCGGCCAGCCCAACTCTTAAGAATTGTCCACATTGAGTCTCCAGCAATTCATCAGTTACAGTTCAGGCTTTCCTACTACTCATGCATTGGCTCCTATGGCAGTTTCTGCTTGTGTGTCTCTACTCTGGTAAGTTGTGACTCTTCATATGTGCCTGTCTCTCCAGCTTATGGATTTTAAACTTTGAATCCTTGAATATTGGAAAATGTCTTTAGCTTTATTCTTTCACATTGTTAAACAATGGTCATTGACTCCATTGCAACGCCAAAAGGAATCCCCAATTTGGAATGTGGTGAAGAAGTACACTATTCAGTGCAAAACAGTTCAATTTTTATACAGCATGGCTGTGACAGCAGCATGACTGGAACAGCTCAGTTGTGATACAGCATGGCTGTGAAGCAGCCCTAGGACTAGCCATCCCTGGGGCCAGGCCTTTCTCTGGCTAGATAGCTCAACTCTGCTCCTCACTGATCTGCTCTGCTTCCTGCCTGGCTGCTTTGGCTTGCTTTGGTGTGCTCTGCTCTGTTCTGGTGAGACATCTTCAGTGTTTCAGCTCAGCTGGGGAACTGCAGTCTTTGGTGGAAAGAAAGGGAAAGTATGCTCTCAGAGCCAGAGGGGAGCTGACTTATATGGACAGAAGTCCCTGTCCCTGGTCCCTGATTGGTTGGTATGTTCTCTTTCACAACAGGTTTCCAAATATTCGAAGTTTGATTGGTCCAAAAGACATTGTCCTGATTGGTCAGAATAGAGCTACTCTGGATGGTTGCAGCTGTGCAGGTTTGATTGGATGGGGAAAGCCTTAGTCCTTTTGGTTAAATAGGATTCCCGGAACTCCTTTGTAAGGGTTGGCTTAGGTGGCAGAAACACACTGCAGGCAGGCAGTTCAGCACAGAGGCAGGGAGTTTAGTGCAGGCTTCTCCCTGAAGTGCAGTTTGTGTGAGTCGTCCCTGTGTAGAAATCGCTGCTGGGCTCGGGGCTCTGTTTTTGTCTTTGTTGTTGTTTTTAAGTTTGAGCCCAGTTAACCACCAGGAGCCCTTCTTAGTAGATGTCTTCTTTCCGAGGGTCCACAATACAAATTCTAATTTTGGGGGTATATACTTCTGTGTTTCAAATACAGTAAAGACTCGATATAACAGACTAATTCAGGCAAGTGGGTGTCTGTTATATAATTAAGTAGGTTTTCCAAAAGCGTATGTTAAAAAATTGACAAATTAGTTTACCTATTTTTGCTTACGTAGACATGTTTGTGTAATTAAAATTATGTATGTATGAAAATTTTAATTTCATACAAAAGCTTTCTATACGTATTACAGTAATTTTAAATTTATACTGAATAGATGTAGTAAATACGGGCATTCACCAGTCACCACAAGTAAACAAATGCACAGGACTGGGGCACATGGCTGGGGTATGGCTTAACACATATGAGGACATCAGCCAGCTGGCATGCGTTAAAACTGCTGCAGAACATCACGCCATGGGACAACAGAACCAATTACCATGGGAAATGTGGTGTAATCATTCACCGAACATTGTTTACCAGCGGTGACACTTTAATTTAAATATGTAAGCTATAATTGTAGATATCTGATATTTATTTATGTCATTGAAATTACTAGTGTTTTTCCCAACATATGGCCTATTTGCTAAAATTTGTTAAAAATAACAAGAAAACCTGTTAAGTTACTTATAAGCAAAGCTTGGTTAATTGGGTGTTAATTTTCACATATGACATACAGACCGGAAATTTTGTCCATTAAATCCAAAGTCTGTTAAATCAAAGTCTGTAAAATTGAGGGTTTACTGTAATTTTCTTTCAAACTTTGAAGCTACATCTTCATTGTTTTGTAATATCAAATGCTGCTTATATCGGTGTGATACCTGTTCTTCTGTAGGAATATACTTTTTCCCTCTTAGGTTACAAGTTGAGATGCAAAGATCTGTAGTCTTAAGTTTTTGTTTTTGTGTTAAGAATAAGAGTAATCTGAGAAAACCAAGATGGTGGCATAGGTAAACACCGGAAATTGCTGCCTCGCACAACCACTTCAAAAATACAAAAGACAAAACGGACATCATCCAGAACCACAGGAAGGCTGGCTGAGTGGAAATTCTACAACTAGAAGGAAAGAGAAAAGCACACTGAGACTCAGAGGAGGTGCAGAAGTAAAGTGCAGAGGTACGGAGGCGCACGTGGAAAGGGCTGGCAACTGAGGACACGGTTGTCTTTTTCAATCGGGAGGGAGTCTCAAGCTCCCACCTGCTCTGAACTCCAGTTCTGGGTGAGTCTCTGGGGACCCAGACTCATATGGGGAGAAACTGGACTATCTGGCATCGGTCGGAACTCCAGGGCGGCTTTCTCTCAGAGGTGCTTGCAGCGATTACCGGGACACTGACACTGACACTGACCCTCTTAGGGTAGGACTGAGGAGCAGCCATAGCTGCTTGCTCCACCCTGTTAATCCCCTGAGACCCCGCCCCACCCAAGCTGTGCGCAGAGGCTTTTGCATATGAAAGGCCTGGCCCTTTGCAATCTGAAAATTACCTAACAAACTGCAGCTGGGTCAGAGAGACCCAGAACTTCCAAAAGAAGGCCCAAGGCCCCACAGCAGCTTGCATTGCTTCACAGCTGGGCCTCACCTGGGCACCTCCAAACCCCAAAGAAGAGGAATCTGCAGATCTCTCCATAGCTCCTGCTGGGTAGCCTCAGGCAGAGGCTAAATTAGCACCTCCTTAGAGATCCAAGAGCCAGTGTACCCAGTGGTCAGAGTGGGACCATCCAGATTACAACTCCTCAGACCCATAAGTGACACAGTCAGGGGGCAGACTCAATGAGCCCCACTGAAGCAAGTTTTGCCCCAGAAGGGTGTCTCCAGCACAGAAGTTCTCCCACTGTAGACACAGCTGATTCTCACAGCCAATTGGCCTGGAGGTCAATTCCTCCCAGTGATACCTACAACAACCGAGGCTTAATTACAACAAGACTGTGTACAAAACCCACAAAGGGGTACACCAAGAGTGTCCACCTCAGGTAATTGGGGAGGCTGAGCCACTGGGCCCTACAGGACACCTAGCACACAAAGCCACTCTACCAACACAGGGAAGCATAAAAAATGCAGAGACAAAGAAACAGGTCACAAATGACAGAAATGAAGGAAAGCAAACTACTGGATATAGAGTTCAAAACCACACTTACAAGGTTTTTCAAGAATTTTCTAGAAACCGCCAATAAATTTAGTGAGACCCTCAAGAAATCTAGTGAGACCCTCAAGGTTATGAAAAAGGACCAACTAGAAATTAAAACATACACTGACTGAAATAAAGAATAATATACAGAGATCCAACAGCAGACTAGAGGATCACAAGAATCAAGTCAAAGATTTGAAATACAAAGAAGCAAAAAATACCCAACCGGAAAAGCAAAAAGCAAAAAGAATCCAAAAATATCAAGATAGTGTAAGGAGCCTCTGGGACAACTTCAAGCGTACCAACATCCGAATTATAGGGGTGCCAGAAGAAGAGAGAGAGCAAGATATTGAAAACCTATTTGAAGAAATAATGACAGAAAACTTCCCCTACCTGGTGAAAGAAATAGACTTACAAGTCCAGGAAGCGCAGAGAACCCCAAACAAAAGGAATCCAAAGAGGACCACACCAAGACACATCATAATTAAAATGCCAAGAGCAAAAGACAAAGAGAGAATCCTAAAAGCAGCAAGAGAAAGAAAATCAGTTACCTACAAGGGAGTACCCATACGACTGTCAGCTGATTTCTCAACAGAAACTATGCAGGCCAGAAGGGAGTGGCAAGAAATATTCAAAGTGATGAATACCAAGAACCTACAACCAAGAATACTTTATCCAGCAAAGCTATCATTCAGAATTGAAGGTCAGATAAAGAGCTTCACAGATAAGAAAAAGCTAAAGGAGTTCATCACCACCAAACCAGTATTATATGAAATGCTGAAAGGTATCCTTTAAGAAGAGGAAGAAGAAGAAAAAGGTAAAGATACAAATTATGAACAACAAATACACATCTATCAACAAGTGAATCTAAAAATCAAGTGAATAAATAATCTGATGAACAGAATAAACTGGTGATTATAATAGAATCAGGGACATAGAAAGGGAATGGACTGACTATTCTGGGGGAACTGGTGAATATAATAGAATCAGGGGCATAGAAAGGGAGTGGACTGACTATTCTTGGCGGGGGGGAAGAGGTGGGGATGCGGGAAGAGACTGGACAAAAATCATACACCTATGGATGAGGACAGTGCGGGGGGGGTAAGGGCAGAGGGTGGTGTGGGAAACAGGTGGAGGGGAGCTATGGGGGGAAAAAGGAACAACTGTAATAATCTGAACAATAAAGATTTAATTAAAAAAAAAGAATAAGAGTAATCCTATTATAATTAGTTTGAATTTGAGGATAGTTAAAATGAAGGGCATTGTATTTAAAAAAACACACAACTCCATGTTTCCTTTTAGTCTTACCCACTTAATAAAGGGAGGAGCCCATCAGAGTTAAATAATCTTCCCTCCGCCCTAACCGGTTTGGCTCAGTGGATAGAGCA